TGAGGTCCAGGCCACAGGGTGATACGTGGCTGTCTGGAACAGAAGGAGATGGTGAGGGTTTTGGCAGTGACCCCTCAGCTTTCTCATTGTGTGTCAGTTCATATGCATGCTTGAGTTCATCTTTAATGCTGTTGGACTCTTCTTTGATGTAGTCCAGCTGCTGCGTTAGTCGTCTGACCTCATGTCTAGCTTCACTCAGGTGAGTTTCGAGGGCTTTGATTCTGCTGTCCTTGTCTTTAGAGTCAGCATTTACCTCTTCCAGTAGCTGTTCGACATACTCAAGCTTGTTAGCGACGTCAGCATGTTCGGCTTTGGCTTGCTCCATTTCTTGGGTGGTGGCGGCTAGAGTCTCTTGAAGTTTTTCGATCTCTTTGGCAATTTGATCAGTCCCATCTGGCTGTTCCGGTCGTTCCTGAGCCTCCAGTTCTAGCTGGTTGATGCGGGTCTGCACATGCGTCTGCTTCTGCTGGAGCTGGGCGGAATGCCTGTCACTCAGCTTAAGGGTGGCGATGAGGATGTGACTCAAAGTACCTGTGATCTTGGCTAGGTCTTTGTGATTGTAGCTTTTGCTCGGGTCTTGCTTCATAAGGCTGTTCAGGTTCTCATCCAGCTGGTCCTGTGTCAGATGCTGTAGCGTTTCGGCGGCCTTAGGGAGGAGGCTGTCCGTTGCAACACTTAGCCATGCTTCTAGGTCCTTCCAGTGGCCAACAGGGTCTTTAGGGCGAGCCATGTTTGCGGCGGTGAGGGGGAAGACCTATAACTGACACTGACACAGACCTAGGGGAGAGAGAAAAGAACAAAAGAAAACAAAAACAAATGGCAAACAAAAAGTGTCAGGGTGTAATGTCAGATGCGAGCTACTGTTGAGTGTGGAATAAACAAGTGGGTGTTGTTCTCTGTGACTGTGATCCTCTAGGGGGCGTGCATCTAACTTGTAGTCTCTGTGGGGACAGTCAGTAAACACACACAGTTAGGACAGCTAGAGAACTGAGAAAGAGAAGAAGACTGATAAGGAGAAGAGTGATAATTGGCTGCTTCCAGGTTCCTAGTGAGAACGATTCCTTTAGCTGTCAAGCATGTGAAAGGATGCTTCTCTGCTGGAAGTTGGAGATGGGGAGCTCTAAACACCAGGACTGTGATTGTTATTAAATTTCCTCCGCTGTGAAAGAAAGTACAATAACAATGACAGTATTGGTTTCTTACTTATTAGGATTGACACCATACACCAAGTAGACCACTTTTGATGTGGATCTAAAATCAAATTTGAAAACACCTGTCTTCTGGTTGACTCGTTTCGTCCTTAATCAGGTAGCGTCCTATGGCGAGAAAGGGTAGAGAGTCAGATAATTATAACATGAAATGTTTAAGTTTCACAACTTCTGTTAAATGTTTCTAACGTTCTCTGCTTTCATGATTCACACAGGTACAATCTCAAAAGGGCAGCGGTAGTCAACTCGGAAGAAGACAGTTAAAGGAAACAATAGAAAGTGAAGCAAGTTTTCAAATTACAAAGTTGACAAAGTGGTGGCACTGTTGAGTCAATACATCAAAAGGGGTTGGTTTATTGTGTTATCAAGATAACTAATTAGCCTAAGTAGACAGGAAAATCCTATATTTCCTTTGGGGTTTGGCTAATCGAAGGCTACTGCTCTGGTATGCTAGGTTTAACGATGACTTGAGTTCAGTTGTAGCCACCTACAGGCTACACTGTCTCATTGCATCAACCAAACACCAGGGGGAGCACTGTCCTGTGAGGTAATTTAATACCTAAAGGATAATTAAAAAAACTTGACTGCAAATTAATTTAAAACTAATTCAAATTAGTATTGACATGAAATGATTCAGAAATATGATTTTTATCAATAACCTTGATTAAGAGTTGCTATAATTAAATAAATCAATAATTGTAATAGAAAAAGGAAACCAAACACCACTTAACTATTATTGAAATTAAAATTTCCAAATAGCAATAATGTTGGTTAAGGCTAACACTCAGTGAGGTTGTCATTAAAGTCATAAACACAATTATATTTAATTAATCAGCAAACATTCCTGCAAATCAGTTCCTGCAAATCAGAGAATAAATAAATTTCAAAATCAATGATGATCGGGAATGTGTGATATTCCCGATGTCAATAAATTTGATCAAAAGAGTTTATTTAAAATTGATCAATAACTGTTATTGAGATAGGGCAGCCAAGCATCAATGAACTATTAAATGAAATTAAAATTTCAGAATAGTGATTGTGTTTGTAAAGTCCCAGGACAATAAATGTTATAATTAAACACTGTGCTTATAAATCAACTTCAAATATCAACAGTCATAGAAAATGGTTGTTCCTATAATGTTGATAAGTTTCAGAAGAGAAAAGCATTAATCATTAATTAAGCATTAATTTGATTGAGCAATTAAAAGCATTACGTTATAGTCATAAACTATAATTAATTGCTAATAAACCAACAACTTATGAGCATTTGAATTGATAAAACAGGCCAGGTTAAGCAGGAAAAGCATTTGACAATTGTGATTAAACCAGCGATGAGATCGCGTACAATGGGGTTTACTAAATCTGCATTAGTCAAAGCCTTTTCCAAGAAAGGGAGAAAAATGAGAAATAAGGCAAATAGCCTATAAAGAGTGAGAAATCAAGATTCAAAATCTTGCTATATCGTGAATTAGGTTGTCACTTCAACTTAACACACTGCATTCAAGACCACAAGAAGAGCGCTACTACACTAGCCTTTAATGCTATAATGGCATAGCCATACCACACACTTCAATGCAACAGCGTGAGCTTCAGTTAGCTTAGCTTTGTGCTAATGTCTACAGCCGATGCAAGCGCGGAGGACTGCGCATGCGCACTTGAGAGTACTCTGAAAAGTCTTTCAGGACTTTCGGGAGGCTGTTACTATGACGACGTGCACAGAATGAACCAATATGCGGTTATGCACACAAACTTACATGCATCACGTGAAATAGCGGCGCATTTCACACTGCTCAACAGAATATAGCACTGTTAAGATCTCGGCGGATCCCAGCGCTCTGTGTCAAGACTATTCACAGTCAAAGACACGCGTGGATTCAATCACGCACACTTTACTTGATCAAGATAAGTTCTCCCGTGAGAATACGCTCTGCCGCTCTCTCAAGCGCGGCGTGATGAGTTCACTAACTTTGATGCTAGTGAATTAGATGGCAAAAAGACAGTTAGCTACTCTGTGCTTAATTTGACCAGGGAGAAATGCACAGTTAGTCTTTAAAGCTGGGACACGCACCTTTAAATCAACTGTGAAGGCCTTATAGGAGAAAGAATAAGGAACACGCTTATTGTTTCTCAATCCGTGCGCTTTACAGCGACGTATCGTTTTTGTCTCGTGGACAAATAACTATTTACTGCAGTTCGCTTTCTCAAAAGCACTCGAGTTGCGCATTCGTGCGTTTCAACACACTGGGTACCACAATAAATCATACAGTAACACAACAACTTTGTTTCTCTGTCTCTAATCTATTCTTCCGGACAAAATAGAAAAGATAAACAATGTTTTTGTGCTTAAAAGTCAGATCGTACTGTGCCTAAAAATTCTCCACCATTAATATGTAGGGGATCAACCTACGTTTTAATATCGATCAGGGATTAATTAGCTCATTTCAATGAATCGGATCCTGAAGATTCGAATCATTGATTTGACTCAAATGAGTCAGATTGAATCAGATCAAAAGATTCACACTTTATCTACCATTTGTCCCGCAAATAGAAGACATCGTATCTTACCAATCTTGTTTATATTATTTACGTGGCCAACGATCATAACATAACACAGTATTGGGTTAACTTTTAGCAAGGTAACAAGATCTACAGCTCGAGGCAATGAATCACATAAACAAGAACACAGTTCTTACAAAGTGAGTACAAAGATTTATTGAGCTACACTACGATACATGAAACTAACTACGTAATAAGCAAACAACAAACAAACGCACACACACATTCACACATACACACAGAGGTAGTTCAGAGGATGCAATATGAGTTGACAACGTCCCAAATTAATTCTAATACTTCTTGCAAGATCTTAGAATAACACCTGAGAAACCACAAAAGCAGAGATATGGCTTATCTTTAACTGCTTAAGATCAATCTGCACAAGATCAGCAAGAGACAACATTAGTTTGTGTTACTTGCGCCCTTTTTGCCTAGTATGGGTAGCTGCAGTCTGGAGCAATGGGCGGAGTTAAAGGTAGGGGCGTGGCTAAAGGTATTTCATTGGTCAAAATTTTTTTCGCTAGGGGCGTGGCACAAGGTTTTTCATTGGTCAAAGGTTTATTTTCCGGTTAAATGCGTTGGCCAATCACATTAACGTATAAACAGATTGACAATAAGCTGCTCCTTTAGCATAAAGGTGGATTGTTCTATTAAACGCTTCTCGTTTAGAATAAAGAATAAATTAAACGTAATCACAACCTTTGCTTAAAAATATTACTATAAATATTTTTAAAAGTAATTTGGAAAGTCATCTATCTAATTTAGTCACAGGCTGTTAGCGAATTTACTTCATCACCATTGAGAGGTCTTGAGTGTTTTTTTAAAAGCAATAGCCGAATAAAGACAGAGGATTGAATTAAATATAATCATAACATGCTTTCGCTGTAAAAATCATTATAAACGTTAATTTGAAAGTGCATTAGACCGGCATTCCTCAAGGTCGCGGGTAACTTACGTCATCACCATGAATTTGAGTGCATTGTAGTTTTATTAAAGTAATGTGTAAATCAGAATTTTTCTGCTTGATACAAATACCATAAACCACTTTGTTTGTTCTTCATGGTGGCTATTTAAAAGTGCAGTAAAGCGAAAGTTGTTCAATTCAAGTTAAATTAAATCGTGATTTGGTTGTTTCTTTGTGATACTAAAAGTAATGCCTAAAATAATAAAAATTAAGTTGATTTTGACAAGTCCGTTTTGTGTGGTAAAATGTTCAAATATTACAAAATTAATTATGATAAAAACTTATTAGCCTTATGTTAAAAACAATATTCAGTTTAAAACAGACACAAGTCCATGAAACATTTGTTTAATCAACAAAAAAACAAACAAATTTAAATCAAATAAACAAATCCATCCTCTTCCATTCACCACAAATCCAATCATCCATCAGTTAGCCACGAATACCATCCGTAACTACAAATCCAGCCATCCATTCATTCAGTCATTCATTGTATAGAAGCAGTGCATCGAGCAGTAGCCATCGAACTCTTTGTCAGAATAAAAAGCTCTATACACCCCTTTCTTCCCATCACCACAGTATCCAATTGTGTCTTTGTACAGCCAACCACATGATTCACACGTGGAGAGTTTGAACTCCACTCTTTATTTGTCTTTTATATCTGGACTTGTAGATTTCCAGTCAGTGATGCCTACAAAAAAAAAAAAAAGATATTACCAAATGAAAATCTATTTAAAACACCTTATTCATTTAATTAAAGTAAAGAACACATACTGTCGAGCCAGGCCAAGTGATATTTTCTACGGAAAACTTGACTGCAGACAATGTCACAAAACTTTCTTCACACAAGTGAGAGTGTGAGGAAGGCTCCATCTCCTTCATCGAAAACAACATCTAGAAGAATCTGTCTGAGCAGGTCTGATGGTAACTGAATTAAAGACAAAATTTATACACAAAATAAATGACAAATGTAAAATGGGAAATAAAAAAACTAAAGCTAGGCTAATAAAATATATTCAAACATACATCACAAAGGCCTCCTTTTGGATCCATGGCTGAAGGAGGAAAAACTAAGATATTGTCAAGTGCATCACCTTTACAATGCTACATACAAACCTCTATTTAACACTTAAAATAAAAGACAAAGATGCAATAAATGGCAAAAGGTAAAAGTTACATGTATAAATGTATATTTGCTATAATTTGTCATAACATTAAACATATGAATCAAGTGATACTTTGTGACAACTTTTCTATTTTTTATTAACTTACTACATTTGTTTTCACCCGAGAGTACAGGTGCCTGAGACACGCATTCCATTTTTCTGGGCCTTTTTCGTTTGACAGGAGACCTTGAGAAAAAAAAATTATATTAATTGCAGTGCTAACTGCCTTCACTTTAAAATGTAAAAAAATAATAATAATTTACCCTGAGCCTTCGAGCAGGAGCCCACACCACCATCTCCTTATTTTTGTCATATTAGCCTGTTTCAAATAAAAAAAAGACAATTACTACAATGTTGAAAAATCCTTCTTTTATACTGGCTAACAAAGTGTTGAGCAAAGACTCACCTCAGAAAAGTCAAAATCAACATCAAGTGCGATGTACAAGGCATACTGAAAGTCAAAGAAATTGTCAAGATCTAAATCTATTAATGCGGATGTCCATGTAAATTGTTAAACTTACCATTAGCATAAAGACTCCACAGTTATTTGAGAAACTCTGCATTGGAATATTCTGGGTAATGTTAGGAATAAAAATGAACATTCAAAATAAAAAAAAAAAAGAATTAACATTTAAACAAGATTGTTTTATATTGCATGTTGGATGGCTGTAATTATTGAAGAACTTACTGAAAGATCCTGACAGGACAACTCAGTCCAATGTCCAGGAACAATTTTCTGGGCAACTCTCCTATTAAATGTGCCAAACACGCAAAAATCAACAACAGCAAGTAAATTTACATGAATCTGAATCAATAACAGAACCATGGCGCATGCTTTTTTGGGAATGATGAGTTTTACATTGTCCTTTTTAAAATATTTTCTTAATTCATATACTTAAAATTCACATTTAAAACTTATTAGTTTCCACATCATTCCCAGAAGAACCACAGAAACAATAAATAAATACAGAACAAAATTAAAAAGGAACAAAAACAAAAAAGCTGAATGGTTTAAAACTGAACCACCATACAGCAAGAACGCTTGAGCAAGAACTGCTGAACCAGAACTTCTGAACAAGAGCTATTGAACTTGTAAAAGACCTGTACACTTGACTGTATCTGCCATCACTTAAGCCACTCTTGCAGAGTGAATCAAGTAAAAAAAGCTGTTTGAGCTTTGGACGCAGTATCTGCAAAATGTTGTTAAAAACAAAATATCCTGACATTTATTTGAAAAAACTTGAACATATCATACCAATAACTTACACAAATCATCCAGTGTGACTTGCTCCATGATGGAAACAAAATGCAGTCTTTCGCAGATGCATCAACCTGTCACAAAAGTACAACCCAATTTATGACAAAATATTGCAGAGTTTGTACTTTGCAGAAAGGGGTTGCCTTCTTTGTTTTATAGTAATACTTAATGTTACGTTGCCTAGAACATATAGTAAGGAATTTCAGTTGATGAAATCCAAATCATCATCACCATAAACCAGACCAACTAACCATTAAAATATTACATTGATTATGCAAAGTATAAATCCTTACAGGGATATGTAACATGGGATCTGCACACAGCGGTGGAATCAAAGTTGCATTTACATAGCTGTTCGAAGTCCAGACTTGAACACCCTAATAACAAAAAAAAAAAAATTAAAAATAAAAATATAAACAACAAAATAGATTTAGTTATTATTTCTTTAATTTTACACACAAAAGTTACCTGCAATGCGCTGATGTCTTCTATTATCTTGAAACAGCAATTCAAAATCTATGAAGAAAAAAATGGTTCACTTGAACAAATTATATGGAAAGCAAAAGTAATACATAACACTTTACAACCATGCGCCATGAATCATTTATCAAACATAAGCAAATAGTTCATTTGTTAAGCATTAACTCTTCATCAATAGACATTAATAAGCTATTTATAAAATACTGCTACAAATACTATTGTCTTGACATATAATCACATTTATAAATGTGCTTAATGATTGTATTTTCATACATTGTTAATGATTGCATGGTTAACAAACTATTTGGAGTAGCTGGTGTTTTTTTAAGATTCAGAAAAAATAAATAAATGATTAATAAACTATTCAAATCAAAATTTATAGATATTACTTCTTGGGCATATAGTAATCGTTACTTTGTGTTAATAAAAGCTTTATTAAAGGCAATTTAAGTGAGGACAATTTATGATATGTAAAACTCTTTTAACTGACAATTAAAGGCTCAGATATAATTTAAACTAAAAAAAGGAAATCTACTATTCAGAGCAAAAAACTAATTTTAAAATGCAAAAAAGTACCCATTTAAAAAAAAAAAAAATCTGTGCAATCTTATCAGTAAATGAAAATAAATCGGTGCAATCTTATCTGTATATAAAATTACCCTTTAAATATATCTGAAAACACTGAAATGTTTTATAGTTATATCAAAATGCTGTTTTGCAAAACGGAATGCTGTATTTTGTTGACCATTTTAATTATTTTTATATGTATGTAAAGATTTATTGTCCATTCAATAAAGAGCCTTTAATTTTCATTTATAAGGGATTTACAAAGAACAAATAGTCCTCACTAGATTAGGTGACAAAACTGGGAAATTGTCTTAATAAAACATTAATTGTTATACAAAGTAACCATTGCCAAGTGCCTGACAAATAAGTGAAAATATTAATTAAAATAGTTTATTAATCATTTGCTAATACTGAATGATATTGAACACCACCAAGTACTCTTCAATAACTGATAAAAATAACACTTCAACACATTATTTTGTAGTGAAAAAAGAATCATTAAATATGAAAATACAAGCATTAAGCACACTATACATGTGATAAGTCAAGAATGCACCTTTTGTGCATTTGTAACTTTACTTAAAACTGCTTACAAATGTCTATTAAAGGTAGCTTTAATGCTTAAAATGATTAACTATTTGTTATTGCTTTATAATAACTAACATTATAACATTAATGAGCAAATTTATTAAGTGTCACCAGTCATTTTGGAAAAAAAAAAAAAAAAAAAAAAAAGATTACATACCGTTGCCTCAGCATCGCGTTCTAATCCCAGCGTCTGAAAATCTTCTCGCATCAGGGTGGTGGAATAAATGCGTGCCACATGTTCGCTCTGACTTTTATTTGTGTCTAGCACATCCATGAGCTATATGGGGGAAATAAATAAATCAACATTTAAATACTAAAAATTTGATGCTCCTCACATCGTATAAAATTCTCATTTAAACACCTTTTCCTCCACTGATTTAGTCAATGGCTGTTCCCAGGAGGTCTTCAAGTAATCTTTCAATTTTCTTGCAGCCACCTTTTGTGCGTTTGGCTCACCATTGCTCTTGTTTTTGCTTTCAAAAGATGACCCTAGAAATAAAGCATACCAGTCAAATTATTTTTAAAGGAAAATCTGATTATTGTGCTGCTAACTTTAAATTGCGAAAAACAATTCAAACATGCCAATTGATCTTTTACCTGACAGTGCTTGCCCATGCTGGTCCAGGGTAACCTCAGTGCAACCAACATGCTTGGCAAGTTGTTCAACAAACCTATTATTTTTTGCAACATTGTAGTGGTGCAACAGGTTACGCATGAGGAACACATGGTTTGTTGGCTTCATTACATTCAGAAAATAGTTGTTTTTTCTCATTTGAGAAAACAACTGCTCAGCACATTGAGAATTCACTCTTCCAGCCAACTCTGGTACAAGCTGTATTTTGCGAAGTTTATCGCGTGAATCTTTGGTGTTGTTTTCATGGAAACGGTCATAGAGAACGTAATGCTCACATGTGCCAGTTAATGGATGCCCATTTACATCAGAAGGGAAATTCTTCTCTTTAAGCCACTTTAAAGAAACTTTCAGGTTTCCCTTCTCTGCTGCTGTAATATTGGCTTCATTTGGCTCCAAAAGTCGACCTTCGTGTGGACTGAAGGGAATCATGTTCGGACTGCGAAGATTTGCATGAGCAGCCAGTCCTCTTGCAAAATCATAAATGGTCACATTGGGGAGATGTTTCCAGGACATTAAAATGTCAGTAAAGTCCCGTGGACTTTCAGCTCTCAACAAAACTTTAAGGCTGTAAACAACACCGCAGGGGCACATCACAACTGCCCAACCCCCTAGATAATAATAAAATGATTTCAGCAATTTGTTCTTTTAAAACAATATTATTATTTTAAAAATAAATCCAATGCAATTGTTGTGAATAATAAAGAGAAATAACTATAGAATTACACAAACCTGATGCACCCCAAACCTTCTGAAATATTTTGTCGTAAGATGACCTGCTTTGCATTTCACTCCTCAGTCTTGTTATGAGGTCCATCTTCGATCCCTTTTTACCTAATCCGCAAGACTCGCATAGGCGTCGGACAGCACTAACCTAAAACATAATATTTAAAATAATAGTAATAAATAACAACAACAACAACAACAACAACAACAAATCCACTAATAAAAAACTAACTTGAAATAATTGAGAATGCAGTTAGTACTATCACAATATTAGAAGTTGTCAGAAAAGGTTACCTTCAGTTTCATCAGCTCATCAATTAGCCTCTCCTCAGAAACTGGAAGTTCAGATACTGGATTAGAGGTTGATGGCTGAACTTTTTCCCATTCAGTATTCAAAACAGTTCCAGACTTCCTGGTGTTAACTCCAATCCAAGGTGCCCAAAGGTGAAAATTTGGTTTAACAGCAAATGGATTGTGGTTCCCACCTGTAAAAAGAACCAACAACACCAATAATACTATAATTAGTATCATTATAACAAGTATACTTTTACTTAAAAAACAAAAAAAACAAAATGTAAACATTTTAGCTAAAGAAAAGATAAACATATCTGAACTGTGTGCTTAGTACATCTACTAAACTGAATGCATCAAACACAAAATAAACAAACTTACATGGCACAAGACCTCTTGCAATAATTTCCAATCTCAGGGAATTCCAAAACGCCTCCACATCTACATGTCCATTAAAGTTTGCAGGCGGTTTTTCAGTTTCACTTACTACAAAAAAAAGGTAGTTAGGTAACTGGATAGTTACACAGAATGGACAAATTGATAATTTTTTTTTAAATTAAACAATGGAGAAAGAGGCAGATAATTCAAACATTAAAATTTAAACAGTTATCATACCTGGCATACTAAAAACTCCTTTTCGATGTGCATCCATGATAACAACAGATGGATGGAATCCACACTTTAAGCAGGAAAACTGATAATTGTGGTCAGTCAAGGCTTCAAAGTGCAGATAAGCACAAAGCACAGTTATGCAGCTTGGATAATGCATTCCAGTAGATACAGAAAGAGCTTTACAGACTCGTTCAACTGCAGTGTGAGACTAAAAGAGGAAATTACATATTATTATTGACAACAATGTTCAATATAACTCCAATCCTAAACAACCACTGTTCTGCAAAGTTTAGCTCTAATGACAATGTAACACACCTTAATAAGCAATACACTAAAAACCTCCCACCATGTCTTGAGGCAGGATGGAGCTAAACTATGCAGAACAGCTGTCCTTTAGGTATCTGGACACCCCAGGATATGATAATCCATCTACTATACCTGTAGGAAACTTCTAAGCAGCAGACAAAATTTCACACTTAGTATGATGTGGTTATCATAGTTATGCAGACCAGAGTTCCATTCTTGGTAGCGATATGAAAGGCCACACACTGGGCATTTCTTGCAATACGTTTCAACATCTAAAAACAAGCAAACAAGCATGCAGTTAATAGTAAATAAATTTAATACTCATTTAAATTATTTGCTTCTAGCTAACAAATACCAACCTTCGATTATTCCAATTGTTGTGACAATTTTGGCTTTCTTGGAGATGAGCAAAGGGTCACTGAGTGGTACTTTTTCTGAATACATTGAGCAGAGCATTTCATCTGGAACAAGTACTTTTGGGAACTCCTTTTCACAAAAACTTGTTGTTGATGAAGGAAGGGAAGATGGTATCGTTTTTATGGTGAAAATGTATTGCACCATTTTCTTGAGATCATCATTTGTTGGAGGGTACACAGTGCTCTTAGAATCATCTTTTGCCAAAGTATGATCAGGATCTGCTGGCAATAAAGACTTTGTGGCCAAGTCCTCCTCAGTGCTCTTCACTTTTCTGAACATATTTCGCTTTGTTTGAAAAAGCAACCACTTGGACACTGCCTTGTGTATGCAGGAGTGCCTCGGTCTACTGCAAGGGCAATGCCATGTGTTATTTTTGGCATTATAAAGAACCATAATTCTGCCCAAACGGTTATAAAACGAAACTTTCGGCTCAAATACGGAGATGTAATGCATATGAGATGCACTTCCAATGTCAACATAAGATGCAAGACATGTATCTTCTTCCTCTGCTTTTTTTTGCAAATTTATACACTGTTTCTTGCGATCCTCTGCAAACCATCTCTGGGTGACCATTTCTTGCAAAACCTCTTCCTGTAAGGAAACTTTTGAAGCATCTGATCTGCAATAATTAACTGATTTTAAGTGGGTACACTCACAGGATCGCATACCAGATCTCCTTTTAAAATCAATTAGCGCATTACAGATGTCAACATCGCAAGTCACCTTATGCGAACTGCCCCATGTCTTTTTAATTACATGGACAGGAATGCAAGGGCCTTTTGAAGATTTTGAAACGGCGAACACACCATTTTTTTCATCAATGCACAGGCTTCGAAGACAAGACAGTGCAGTGACGTCATGCTCAATATTTGAATGAGCTCTTTGGGTGTGTTTTTTAAGATTTTTCTTTAAAATACAAATATTGCAGTGTGGACAATTCACCCTTTGCTCCTGCTTTCTTTGAACAACTGTCACCTTGGCGGTCTCTTGGTTTGGAGTGATAGTAGGATGTACCGTTTGCCTGTTTGGAGGAGGTGCCATCTGCCTGTTTGGAGTGCTAGGTGGAGGTGCCATCGGCCGGTTTACAGTGCTAGGTGGAGGTGCCGTCTCACTGTTTGGAGTGCTAGGTGGAGGTGCCATCGGCCGGTTTACAGTGCTAGGTGGAGGTGCCGTCTCACTGTTTGGAGTGCTGGGTGGAGGTGCCATCGGCCGGTTTACAGTGCTAGGTGGAGGTGCCGTCTCACTGTTTGGAGTGCTGGGTGGAGGTGCCATCGGCCGGTTTACAGTGCTAGGTGGAGGTGCCGTCTCAATCTTTGGAGTGCTGGGTGGAGGTGCCATCGGCCGGTTTACAGTGCTAGGTGGAGGTGCCGTCTCACTGTTTGGAGTGCTGGGTGGAGGTGCCATCGGCCGGTTTACAGTGCTAGGTGGAGGTGCCGTCTCACTGTTTGGAGTGCTGGGTGGAGGTGCCATCGGCCGGTTTACAGTGCTAGGTGGAGGTGCCGTCTCACTGTTTGGAGTGCTAGGTGGAGGTGCCGTCTCACTCTTTGGAGTGCTAGGTGGAGGTGCCGTCTCATGGTTTACAGCACTAGCTGGAAGTGCCGTCTCACTGTTTAGAGTGTAAAGTGGAGGTGCAGTCTCATGGTTTAGAGTAGCAAGAGGAGTTTGTTGTCGAGCTGTCTTGGTGCAATGAGTAGAAGAATATTTACAAAAATGTATGTGCTTGATGAAATCGGACTTGTTTATAACCGTTTTGGAACAGTAGCAGCAGTGATAGTGCTTATTTTTTCGGCAATCCAAGTGACAGTCATAAATTATGAAATCTGCAAAAATACAGATAAAAAAAAACATTTATTAAAACCATTTAAAGCATGTTTCAAAAAACATTCAAATGTAACAAAAAAAAATTAATCTGACAAGGAAAATATGCAAATCACATATATGACATACAAATTCATATTTTATATGCATAAGGTGTCATATAGGCAACAATTGTAAAATATTGCAAAAAAAATACAATTAAAAATACTCTAAGAAACTTATACCACCTAGTTTGGAACAAGTAAAAGTTGAGTAAATGATAGCAAGTTTTGGCTGAACTATCATTGGAAACTTTTATAGACTTTTGGCCAGCATTAAAAAGCTGAAATCTTTTTTGTTTTGTCATTTACTTGTTGTTTTTTTAGTGAATAATAAATAGCAGATATTACAAACATGTATTAGTTAATTAACAAACGGAAATTAAAACATACTAAAACAGATTAAATGTGTGCTATAATCAATTGTTGTCTTTTAAAATTAGTGATAGACAGTTAACATTAACTTTAGGGAAAGCAAAAATTCAATACAAAACAATACTGAAACTTGTATTTCACTGCTATATTTTATATATATTTTGTAGTAATGTAGGTTTAAAACAGTAATAGTGAAAATACAGTTGACTTAGTCATTGCAATGTCCAGTTGTGTGTGTACACACTCTTTAAAAGGATATTTCTAAAGTGGACATATTTGCTATATTTCGTAATACATGTTGCATACATGGCATTTTATATGTATCACATATGAGCTTGTATGTCATATAAGTTATGCAATTTACACGTACATATTGGCATACATCAGATGTAGAATCGCTCTTCACGTCATCACATAACGTTATCACCCAAATAAATCATCTTAAAATGCAAACCACCAAATAATTGGGTACTTATGGTCGTGATGAATTGCTCGAATTTTGTGACTCTGCAGATGACTATAAATCATATGAACAGGTCTCAAAACATCTGCACAAAAGGGACACCTATACAAACTACCACTTTGCTACTGTTCAATAGAAATGCAGTCATCCCCGTCATCTTCGCTTCTCACCGTAACGTGTCTCTATCAACCACAAATTACGTAAAGTAATTATTAGAGTTACTGT